CCTTCTAGTTGCTGTATGTGGGACGTGGCCTCAGCACGGCCGGAGAAGCGGTGCGTCGGTGCGCGCCCGGGATCCGAACCCGGGCTGCCAGCAGCGGAGCGCGCGCACTTAACCGCTAAGCCATGGGGCCGGCCCCCACTGGTTTTTTAATCTATAAAATGCCAAGGTCCTTGAAAAATATGAGCTATCTCAGTATTTATCACAGTGTGAATTGTAGTAGCCAGTCCTATTCTTTATTTACTTTTTTGCCTTGGTGTACAGAAGAAATATGTGACTTGGGAGGGAGTTTGTAGGATGGGGGAGGTTGTGAGTGACAGAGGCATAAGAAATTAAAAATGATAACTGAGAGTGCCTCTTGGTTGGCAGGGCAGGGAGCAGGGTGAAGGACCTATTCAGAAAGAGAATGGACTACTTTGTGGCCTTTGTGACCTGCTATAAACTAAGAGTCATCTTCTTAGAACAGTGTGCCTCGAGCATGGCTGGGGGCCTGCCGGGTTCCTGGTACTCCTTTCTTTATCCTTGGCACGCTCCTGAAGTTAAGTTAACCTCAAAATACCCCTGACCCAACTCTGGCCCACCCTTCAGGGTGTTAACTGCCTTTCAAAACTCCCATATAAAAGTAAAATCATATTGTAACAGTAGTTGCGTTGTAGAAATGTACTTTGTCGTTGTTGGAACTCAAGCATTAATGTGGTGTTGAGAAAACAATGTAAGACTGGAGAGAAAAGATGTAGATGTAAGGCCTAGTACTACCATTTCAATAGCTGTGTAATCTCAGAGAATCCTGAAGCTTTGTACCTAATTTCCCTATTGGTAGAGTGGTGACAATTCCTAAATAAGATATGTAAAAATGTTTCGTAAACTGTAAGATGCCAGGCAAATAGAAGAGACTGTTGTATAGCAACTGTGAATGTGGACCATATTCACCTGATGGTTTCGTTTCTGCAAGTTGGGAATGATCAAGTTTTCCCCTTCCAATGAGGAAACATATAGGTAGATAATACCAGCCTAGGAGATGAAGAGAATCAGAATCATCTTGAGTGATTCCTTTCCTGGACCTTCTCCGTCTTCACTACGTCTCTAGATAAGGGACAGGCAGAGACTTCTTGTGACAAGCAAACAGATCCTTTTATGGGCAGCAGCAGGGCCAGAACAGAACCTCTTGTTTATATTTTATATTTTTATTTGTTTGTCTCCACGCCAGTGTTTGCATACCTGATCAGGGTTCAGCAGCCCCTGTGGGGTCTTTGTTGGTGGGTGATTTACAATTCTATCTGAGGCACAAGTCGAGGGAAGGAACAGAGTAAAACATTAACAAAACAATGGGAGGGAAAACGAGGTCCTTTCAGTTCCGATCACTAGAACAGCCTGAGATAATCTGGCGAACCGTTATCACCTCCAAGATCCCCTTTTCCTTTCTTTCAGCTTTCCTCCTCTTTTACTCTCTGGACCTGCATAGTTAGGCAGGCATAACTAAGAGCAGAGGCTGCTGCACTCATCGGAATGTCTGACGTTCTCAGGTGCTTCGGTGATGAGCCTCCAGCACAAGTGAAGAACATAAGCCAATCAGAGCAAAATACCAGCGCTTGAACCAGCTTACACAAAAGCATTTTAATTGACGGTATACAATTTTCCAAAATATATTTTTGTAAGAAAATGGCAATATGGCAATAATTAAGTATAGTCTTTACAAACAAGTTTCTCAGTAAATTCCAGTGTACTTCAGACCCCTGTCCACTAAGACACACATGCTCCCCTAGTCTCCTGGGCAAACTGTTTAACATTCACTAATAACAAAAAGACCCCCATCAAATAGTAATCTCCTGCTTTCACTCAGTGTTGGATTTTCACCTAGTAACAATGCTAGTAACAATGATGAAAGATACCACTGCTTTCCTCCTGCCCACTCTGCTTTCCCCTATCTTGTTCCCTTTGATCCTTAGTCCTGCTAGTAGAAGACCCATATGTAAAAGTTCATTCAAAACTGTTTCTTGGCAGAAAAGAATTGCTCATTTAAGTCTTAGACCTAAACAAATCAGAGGAAGTGTATTAGATCAGTAAGGTTCCTACTTTTGTCTTCATGCCCTCCCTAGCCTGGCTGCAGGATAAGATTCGAGAAGGGAATTCTGTCCTTTGTGTTATTCTGGTGCCTGTCCTTAATTAGCACTCCTTAATTTATTGATTCCTTCCGAGGCACACAGCACTGGACAGTCTTCCAACCCAGGTTTTAATCACATTTCTGTCACTAACCATGTGATTTTGACCAAGTCACTTTATCTTTCTGGGTTTCAGGTTATTTTTCTGTGAAAACAAAAAAAAAGATTGGACTCGGTCTCTAAAACCCTTTCCTATGACTAGAGTGTCGCTTTCCAACCAGCGCATGTTGACTCCGCCCTTACTGTAATAGACTGGGGCTTTGCTGGGGAGGGGGTGAGAACCATATTTAAAAATTAAAATGCCTGATCTGCAAGAAAAATACTTTGTCATCAGCCTTATTTTTCATTAAAGAAAAATTAAACAAAAACCTATTTCTAGTAAAATAGACATTTACATTCCTGTTCAGAGAAAAAAAAGAAGCCATCTCTCTTAGCTAACAGATGTTTTTTCAAAGTATATTCACTTAAATCAGTGCAGGGTAGATTAACATGTGGTCATTCTATTTACATTATCAAAAAATATGTATATATGTATCAGCTTGAACTTGTTTTTCAAAGTTTCTTCAGTATATTGTCAAAAAGGATAAAGCTCAAGAAGTGGTTTAAATAAACTTTCTGCTAGCTTTCCTTATCAAGAGGGGATAAAGGAATCTTGTGTCTAGACTAGATTAAACCTGTATTCTGTCTATGATGCAGAGAATATTCTGTACCTCCTTCATAAGCACTGCTGCTTCTCTCCCCACGCACATGACTGCATGCTTCCCACTGGATTTTGTCCAATCATCAGAATCATGGTTTCTGGCCTTTTATGCAGCTTAAGGAAACCAGTGTGCCCTTGAATTAAAGAGTTTATAATCTCTCTTTGGCACAACTTTTTAAAAGTCATGCTGAGTTCCTGGTGTCCCCCTTCTATCTTCTCAGCCCCAGAATCTTTATCACCAGATAGCATTTAGAACCCAGTAAAGATGTGGGAAGAAGGTGACCTTTTCCAATATGTATGGCCTCTGACATAGATGTCTAGTGGCAGGCGCAAACCAAAGCAATGTAATGGATTCTGAAGTGGCCCTAAAAGGCTAGAGTAACACAGTTCGGGTGCACCAGAAAAAAGAACCTCTGAACCAGCCCAAAGCTTCTCAAGGTTCTCCTTGGACAGAGCCACACTCATTCCTCTTGACCAAGCATAATTTTTACTCTCTAGTCCTTGCCAGTCATCATCTCTCTCCCCAAGAGGCCTTGGGGCTGCAGCCTTTGATCCATTTGCAGAGGCATATTTGCTGTCTCTGTCTAAAAGCCTGGCGGGTGAAATGTGACTCAGAGTCAGCAAAGGAGTAGTAATCCAGTCTGGTCTCTCCCACAGAGGCCACGATAGAAACTCACTGGGTCGAAAGAAACAAATGCTGGGCAGGAAGGAGGCAAACAGCTCTCCTCCCAGCATAACAAGATTTCCTCTATTTATTTTCCCCCAAACTGGCATTGTTCTTCATCCTGCCAACCTCCAAGTGCTAGAGAATCAGGGCAAATACTTTTGGATCCTTGTTAACCTAGCATCTAACTCTTGGGAAGCTCACTGGGGGCCCTATTTGAACCCCTGGCCTTCCTTTTCTGCCCCTATTTGAACCCCTGGCCTTCCTTTTCCCCTAGGATGTCAAAGGCCAAAGGCTATGAAGAAGGAATCAGGCAGCCAGGGAAGGACACAGATCTTCCCCCTCAACTCCTCCCCTAAAAAGAAGCTATCCTGAGCAGATAGCCTGTTTCATCAGAACTATCACAGCCTGGGCCTCTAGGTTCTGGGGTTCTGGCTTTTTGCCCTGAAATGACAGTTTTCATTCTCCTAAGCAGTTCCACCCATCTTCCTAGTTGGTTCCAGGAAATTTCTGCCCAGAAACAATAGACACCATGGGCAAAGTTCAAAATTCCACACAGGATTCCTTCTTCCCAGAAAATCAGATTAAACCCCACTATGCCCAGTGCTCAGGTGCCTTCTACTTGGCAGCTAACTGCTAAGCCCCCTCAAAACCCCTCTACAGTATTTTGTTTCCCTGAGATGCCACCAGAAACTGCAGGAGAACTGGGCAGCCCCACTAGGAATACAGAGAAGAGGACACGCCAGAACAGTGGATGGTTACTGGGACAGACAGCTAGTCCCCAGGCTGCCCCTTATGCAGCTTAAAATGCATCGCACGGTCTAGGCCTTCCTTACCCTATGCACAGGAGAATCGGAATCAGTGAGATGAGCTAACTGAAAGTCTCCCAACAACCTGAGCTTTGGCCTTTGGTAGTAGAGGGCTGGATTAAACAAATATAACAAAACTAATATAACAAATATAACAAAACTCTCAGCAACTTGAAAAGTCCCTGAGTTTCCTATGGAATTGAGAGTAAAGCCTATCCTTCTTGGCTGTTTCAATCGATTGTCTATTAAGCTACCTCTGTGCTGACTGGGGCCTGGGGAAGGTCTGTCCTAAAGCTGCTCTTTCATGCTGGATCTCGGGGGATTCCCTAGCTTGAGTCTTCACCTCCATCGGCTGAGCAGTGAACAACAAAGTAGGAACACTATGCCTTCAGCAGCTGCTGCAGATTTTAGTCCCCAGTGGGAATGGGAGGCCAAAGGAGCTCTTGGGGAGTCTCTTCAAGGAGTGCCTTGGGTGATGGGCCAGGACCTATGCTGGGAGGAAGGGCTTCCCCTTCGCTCTTCACCTGGAGATGGATCCGTTAAGCAGACCTGTTTCACACTGGGAGTCTTGTGTGGGTTAAGTCCCAATCTCACTAAGCAAATCCGATGAAACCAGAATGCAGAACAAGGGGTTCAACGTCATGAATGCCCTGTGTTGGTCCCAGAGGCCCAACAGAGGGGACAGAGTGGGAATAAAAATTGAGTGAAAGGAAGGAGGAAAAACAAAGGGGACAAGAACACTGGCAGACGAGGCTGGGGTAGGAGATAGAAAACTCAGGACCTGTACTTTCAAGTCATCAGATCCCACTGAGACAGGATCTGGCCCCGCTCTTCCTTCTATCCCATCTGTTGACTCCAACCCCTGCCCAGGGCAGCTCAGGGAGGCCCCTCAGGAGGGAGGGCGCAGGTGATTCCAGCAGTGTGGCATGGTGGAAATGAGCACTGGACTGAATGAAGGAGTCTGATTTCATCCTGACTCTGTCACCAAATGGCTGTGTGCCCTTGACCTTACCCTCTTTTGGCCTCAGTCCTCTCATCTGTGAAATGAAGGGATTCTACCAGATGATCATATAAGTCCCTTATATGGCTCTTTCTTGATTTCCCTTCCTCTCATCTTCCAGCAGCAATGAGCTCAGGCACTAGTGGGTTATTTTACAAGAGGAATCTAGACAGAATGTGATTTGTTCAGCTTGAAAAGGGAAAAAGTAAGGCCCTGTGGGGATTGGGAGGAGGGAACCTTCTGAGTCTGCTCTTCCTCCCCAGTCTTTCCCTCAAATGGGAAGGATTTTCCTCCCCTGTCCAAATGGCACTTGAGGTGGTTCAGTCTGGAGCTCTGTGGCACTGTTGGAGGCTGCCAGCAGACCTGATTAGAGGTGTGTGTCTTCCTCCTCATCTAGGTCATCCTTGGTCAGGTTGTCCAGAGGGACGATCCAGCTGTCCCCCAGCTCCCCATTAAGGTTGACCACCTTTTTCTCCTGCATTTCTGATGAGGTCTCCATCACTTCCAGTGTTGGATTGTCATGGTAACCATTCTCCACTGTCTGTAGCTCCTCTGTTAGTCGTTGCTAGAGGGGGAAGGTGACCCAAGAGGAAAGGGTAATTTTTGAGGGCTATTAGCCTTAATATAGGCTTAATAAAACACATGTAGCCCTACAATCCTAGAACCCCAGTTTGGCTAATGTGAGCAATAAGTGCTCCTGGAGGCTGTCCTGTCTATTGGCCTGCCTCAGGGCCCAGCATGCTAAAATTCCCAGCTCACCTCACCTTTGCCCAGGTGGCAAATCTGTGAAGTCAGTGGAGATGGGCTTTGTTCTCCAGATCCCTCCAATCTCTTTCCTCTTTCCTTCATTCCTTCCCCTCAAACCTTACTACCTAGGCACCTGCCTCACCCCACTGTAATGAACTGAGAAGGACTGTAAGAAAATTACTTTCATCAGGCCGGGTGACCTCTCTAAGCCTGAACAAGATGGATACAGCATCTTTGTACTGAGTGTAGCCATCTCTGTTGCAGACAGGAGCCACGCGGAGAGAGAGAGTGCTTTCTCTCTGTCTTTATCAGAGATACAACCTGGGTTGCACAGTAGAGTCACCTGGGAAGCTTTTAACAAAAAGCTTTTAACAAATACACTGATCCAGAGATTCTGTTTTAGTGGTGTGTGAGGAAGCTAGGCATGGGATTTTTTTTAAAGCTGATGGGAATTCTAGTAAGGTGGGTGAACGAACTTCTGGTTAGACAGGCATGTGTAGGCCCATTCGTATCAATGAATCCTCAGAGCAGCTCTGCAAGGTAGATATCATCCCTACTATGCAGAGGAGAAACTTGAAGCTCAGAGAGGATATGACTTGCTCAAGGTTACACAGATAACAGGAGGCAGATCTAAGGCTTAACCCAAGTCTTTCTGACTCCGAAGCCCATGTTCTTCCTCTCCACCATGTTGCCTCTTTAATTTTCCATATAAGTTTCCATTTCGTGTCAGAAAGAGTCCATGGCCCACTCACTTTCCTCTAATATGGGAATAAGGGGGTGAGAGTCATCTAGTGAGTTAGACTACTTCCCTGGCTAGGGGAGTGAAGTCCTCACCTGGTCCTTCCTCTGGGAGAGGCGCTGGTGGCAACAGCCATAGAGGGCCGCAACGAGGAGCAGGAAGGATGCCATGCAGACAATAGTGATGATGAGAGGCATACTGAACCGGTCTTCAGTCTCTTCTGGTGGTCCTTGATGCCCAAACTTCATGTAACTGACTCCCGCCTGGCCAAGATGGAGCAAGTTTTGTGGCAGAAAACAGGTTCCGGGTCACCCTCTCTCTGAACTCCCATTCATTTATGAGCTCTTCTGCTTGGGGCTTGGTGGGACCTATTCCACAACCCTGCTGTCCCCTCTCTTATCCTCCTACTTCTAGATGCTTGCAAATTAGAGGTTCCTAAGGAGAGAGACACTGTGGAGCAAAGTAACTATGGACTTCAGAGGGACAGGCTCCTTACCCAATCCGTCTCAACACATGGGAGGAGCCCACTTACCTCTTGTAGGTCATTCCATTTGTCTTTCAGAGGTAGATACAGGTCCTTGGGAAGGAGGTGTGCTGTGGGAGAGGAGGAGAGATGCTGCTTCAGTGGTCTAGTTCAGAGTGATATGGTAGGGGATGGAGACTGAGCCCCAAGAGGAGGACATACCATATCTCAGTCAACTGAGTGTCTCTCTCTTGGGTGGCCCTGGGAGGGGAAGTGGCTTGAAAATTCTTAGGGAACTGAGGGAGCACCAGCCCAGACCCATCCTTGTGGCTCCTGAACCGTCACCTCCTGCCCCATTCCCACCCCACATAGGCCTCAGCCCCCCTTGCCCTCAACTCACTGTGTATAGTGATGTTTTTGATTGCCACTGCCTGGGTTTCTGGAATGTGTATCAGGTATATAATGCACTCATCTTGAGTTGAGTTGTAGGTGGCTTTTGCTGCTCGGCACAGAATTGTGATCAGTCTGTCATCTGAAGGGCTCTCCCCCTATTGTGGGGAAACCACAAACCACAGGTGAGTCCTCAGGGATCATGACAGCAGCCTAGGCTTGTGGAGCTGTCCTTAGGAGCTAAGGTCAGGAGAATGCTGTTGCCTGGCATGAACCTATTCCCCTCTCCAGCCTCGACTGGTGCCATTCCCAGGCCTGCCAGGAGTCACGGGTTATGTGCTGTTCTCCTAGGCCAGTCCCTGCCCTCTCTGCCTCATGTAAACCCCTTCCCCCAGTCCCCTCCCCCTGCTCATCTTGTCTATGGTTGAACAATACCTTTTACCCTAGTGCCCATCTCTCCCTCAGAGCTCTTAAAGCATCACAACCTAGTGCCCTTTGGCATCTCTCTCCCTAGAAGGGGCTAGAGGAAGCACTGCTCAGCAACCCCACCCACTGCCATTAGGGAAGACTCCAATTCTCTCAACCTGCCATTCGCCAGCCCTTGATGCTCAGTTCAAAGACCTCGGGAGGGGAAGCCCCGGTTCTCAGCTCAAGGTTATCTATGAAACACGTGTGCCCTTTCCCTAGGCTAAGACTCTATGAAACCATAAACAGGCTGACAAGGAGAAAGGTGAGACCGTCACTGAACGAGGGAACATGGGAGTATCTTGAAGATGCACATGGGCGCATCGTGGAGGGGAATCCTCTCTATTTCTAAGCAGAAACAGCATGGCTGACGTGGCCGTAGGGCTGAGGGTGAGGAAGCAAAGCATGGGCAGCTTTTACCCAGTCCTGCCACGTCATCTAGAGGCACCCTGAGCTCGTGTTTCTCTAACCTGAGTTTGGAGTAAGGAACTGAGACAAAGAAAAGGACTCTTGGGGGCCAGCCCCAGTGGCCTAGTGGTTAGGTTCGGCGTGCTCTGCTTCAGCGACCTGGGTTCGGTTCCCGGGCACAGACCTACATCACTCGTCAGTGACCATGCTATGGCAGTGGATCACATACAAAATAAAGGAAGATTGGCAATAGATGTTAGCTCAGGGTGAATCTTCCTCAGCAAAAAAAAAAAGACTCTTGGTATGGCTTACCTCAGAACCCCAAAAAACCATCTCTTGTGTTTCTATCTGGAATTTCCTTAAGCTTACTAATTCCCCAGCCTGACACCAGGTAGGGATCCAGGGCTCTCCTTTCAAAGCAAAGGAAAAAAATGGTTCTTACAATCTGCTAAGTTTTAGCCAAAAAGAGGTCTTGAGGAAAGGTTGGGCAAGCATCAATGTGATTCTTGCCTTGTCCAATAAGCCCAACCCCAAGGCAACACTGTTCCCTTTTAAAACTTCAGTCTAAATGTATGCTTTTATAAAGGTCACTTGGAAAACTCCAGCAAAATGGACACCCAAAAGAAAACAAGTGCAGAAAATACAGGCAGCATTAAAGTGTTGTAAACCCAAGTTCTCCATCCTTTAGAAACCAGCCGCATTCTGTTCTAGTTCCTAGGGGTGTTTGCAAAAGTACACACTGACCAGGAGAGGGCAGCAGTGAGCAGTCCATCACCTGGACTCAGCTACTTACTGAGTAAGCACCGTGCAAGACATCCCCAGACTACAGCCCTTAATCCTAGGGAGCTGGCAGCCTGAAGGCACGACGCACACTCTCTTTCACGCAAATGGACTCACACACGTGCTGACACCCCTACCCCAATACACACACGTACACCACCGTGAGTGGAAGAACAACTGTTGGCAATGGCTCCCTGATGCTCAAGAGCTGACTCCTCAGGTTACAGCGAGGCCATCAGATAATTCATGGACCAGGGAATATAAAACCACAGACTATTAGAACAGGGAGAATTAGGCTGACTAAGCCTCATTTTCAATCGAGCCCTCTGAAGCCCAAAGAGATCGACTTAACAAAGTCACACCCTGAGCTAGAGGCAAATAGGAACTAGGATCGGGGTCTCTAGACTCCTGAGCATGTGCACAGTTGCAAAGGGAAAGCCCAGGAGACCTGGGTACTTCTGGCCCTGCAGCAGCCCTGTGGGTGGGACTTCACTTAGGGAAGTCTGAACCTCACTTTGTCCCTCCGTAAGACGGGAAAGGGCCACCTCCTACTAGGAAAAACAATGGCAGGAAAATGAACCTATCTCTCAGTCCCTTTTTAGAAGGAACATTTCATTCCCTTCTACCTTCCTTAACCCCGCTGCTAAACTGCATTTTGGGGGTGTAGATCAGGGTGGGGCTCGGATTAGTGATGTACTCACACAGAGGCTGGTTTTCGTGAGGTTCAGGATGAGCATCTTGTCATTCAGCTTTTCATCAGATCTGCACTGTACCTGGAAGAAGCCACTGGGATTAAGGTTCAGGCTGAGCCTGACAGGATCTCATCTTTGACTTCTCCCCCGGGTGGGTGACACAAAGGAAGGAGCTCATGGCAAGCTGGGGGTGCGGCTGGCCAGGGTTTCAGATGTCTTATGGGCTGTCCAGCTGTCTAAGCCCGAGTCTAGCAAGGCCAGGGAGAGAGTGGGGTGAATGGATGACTGCTCCTAACAGCCCCAGCCTGGGGCCCTGGGCTGGAGGGAAGAGCAGAAACGCTCTTCTTGGAGCCCCTGCTGTGTGAGTCTGGGCTCTCTTATCTGTCCCACCCCTGCTGGAATTACCCTGTTATCTCGAAGAACTGGGACGAAAGGAGGGACACCGGAGCCTGTGGAGGCAGTTGAAGCCATCTGACTGCTGGAGCTTGTGGGTCCCCTGACAGGGGATGTGGCCGTGGGTCTCAGTGAAGAGGCTGTAGTTTGCAAAGCCTTGGTTGCAGAGGTCTCAGGGACGGAGGAGGAGGTCTCAGGGACGGAGGAGGAGGTCTCAGGGACGGAGGAGGAGGTCTCAGGGACGGAGAAGGAGGTCTCAGGGACGGCTGGCATTTTGCTGGAGGTCTGTGGATCTGTTGTTAATGATTCAGTAGCTGGGAAAACAAAGGTTATGAGAAAAAATGAGTGGTACCGCTAAGAGAAAAGGACAGTCTTTCTTTTTCTTAGTTTCCTGAGGTTCTTTGGTCTTATCCCCCACCTAGAATACAAGTTGGAGTAAGCAGGCGCTGAGGAAGAAGAGGCAAACAGATGAAGTCAATTTCCGTAGCATATTACAGGCGGGGTCAGACTGGATGAGCCAGTGTAAGAACTGATAAAAGAAGTGATCAGCACCACGACAAGGGCGTCAGCAGCAACAGCTAACATTAATGGAGCACTGACTTCGTGCGAGGGACTGTCCTAAGTGCTTCAGAGGTACTTTCTTATTTCATTCTCACAAGAACCCTATGAGTAAGGGACCCTAATTACCCCTATTTTATGAACAAGGAAACTGAGGCTCAGTGGGGCTCGATGATTTGCCCAAGGTCACGTGCTAACAAGTGGCGGAGCAGAGATTTGAATCCAGGTTTATCCAACTCAGAGCCCTTGCTCTTACTGCAGGATGCGACCACCCTCTTCTGGTGCTGCAGTCTGTGAACTTCAGGATGCATCCTCATTACCTCAGGAGTTCTTGAAAATGCAGATTCTCAGGTTCACACCCAGAAATCCTGATTTAACAGATCGGATATGGGTCATGATCTTGAGGCTCAACGATCCATCAGTGAGTTCTGAAATTAATTTACTGGGTTAAGACCAGCACTTAAAAACAAAAAGGAAATGGAATGGAATAGAAAATATCAGGGTGTATCACATATGGTAAGGATGAGCCCTGGTTAGTGAAACTTTTGTATCATTTATGTGTGTGTTACATGTATGCTGTATGTATGTGTCCTGGATTGTGGTATAAAACTAAAATGTATTTCATATTGTAGACTGTCATCAAACACATTTAAGAAACACTGTTCTGGAGTACGTCTAATACGCCACCATGGCAACCACCCAGTCTTAGCCATGAATAGACTGTTGGCTTGTTTGTGTGCTCAGTAGGCCAAAAGACCGACCTCTCATCAGAATACACAGCACTGTTGGCCTCTGCTCATCACTGAAATGGGAGACAGGGGCTGAATGAGTGTATTCACAATAATAGCCCTCATGAATCTCCATCTTCCAGCTGAGCAACTGTATAGAATATAAACATTTAAAAGTTCTTTCTTGCTTGAAAAAAAAGGTTTACTTACTTAGTGTGGTAGTTATCCCCTGAGATGTGAAGGTGGGACCTGCTGTCGTGCCTGCACTACTTGAAGCTGTAGTACTTTTGTCTGGTTCCTCAGAAGAGCTCTCTGCACGCTTCGTAGTAACAGAGCCTGTAGTCAGTCGGTGAGTGCTTGTTAAGACCGTCAGGGAAGGAAGAGCAGAAGTGGTGTGTAAGACTGTACTCAGAGTAGAAGGTTTAGAGGTCACCTGACTTTCTCCCTTCAGGCTCACGCTCTCTGCCTTAGTGGTAACGTCGTGGCTACTTTGGGCTCCAGGTCCAGTTGTGTCTTTAGTTCCTTTCTGGCCGCTGGTGGTTTCAGGCTTTGCTGGGGTAGAGGCTGGTCTAAGTGTGGTCTTCAGGTCACTAGTAGTTGTAATCGAGTTGTCTGTGGTTAGTTTCCCATCTGTGACACTGGGTGTTGTCATTGTGTTCTGCTGGGCTAGGATGGAAGTCACCCCCAAGCTCCTGGGTGCTGCAGATGTGCTTCCTCTCACCACAGCTGAAGTCCCCAGTCTATCACTGGATGCTATACTTTCACTTTGTTTGAGTGTGTTTGAAGTCACCATTGTACCGCCAGATGTTGAAGATGTGTTTGAATTAGTTGAGGTAGGACTGGGCAGGCCTGCTGTTTACAAAGACAACATGGAATCAAGTTAGGGTATTAGCTGGAAGTTTTTCTCTCCACCAGCTCTCCTCCAGCATCCAGAGGCCTTGCTCCTCTCTCTGCCATCTGCCTTGGCTGAAGTTCTGGGCCCTTGATGTGCCCAGATTTTTCTGGGGTTCAAGAAACCTCTCTGAGAGGGAGACTGAGAGTGAAGCAGAGGAAGTCAAGGGAAGTTCTGCTGAAGAGAAGGCCAGGCCAGCTAATCCCGCTGCATGGGGGAGCCTGCAGTGAATTCTCTGCCCTCCCCATCCAGCCCCTGCACACGCCCTTCAAGTTTTCGAGTTTTCAGTACGCCACCACAGAATGAGGCCGCAAGACCATCTCTGCCTCCTTCTCCCCAGCTCCCAGGCACATGATCCCGCAGAAGACTCAACAGACTCATGCTTATTGAACTGCCCTATTCTAAGCATGGCAAGAGAGACATGCCTCTGTTCTCATGGAAGTATAATCTAGAAGGAGAAACTGACAACAAAGTGAAATTACACAAATTATATTTAAGTACATTGTGAGATGGGCTAAGGAAGAAAAGCACCGAGAGCTCTGACTGTGTTTAGCATGGTTGCTTAATCTCAGGGGTCAGGGAAGGAAGACCTTTTATTCATTCGATTAACAAATTATTTATTGAGGGAACCTTTAAGTGACAGGTCTGGGCCCTGGGATACAATGGTGAATAAAACACATAATCCACACCCTCAGGGAGCTTACATTCTAGTGGGTGAGACAGAGATTAAACAAGTGGACAAAACAATGAGACGTCAAATTCTGGTGACTATATGGAAGAAATGAACAAGGAAATGACAGAGAATGGGGGGGGGGGTGCCACTTAGATAGAGAGGTCAGGAAAGCCATCTCAGAGATGACCATTAAGCTAAGACGTGAAGGATAACAAGGAGCAAGCCGTGTGAAGAATGGGAGGAAGTGTACCAGGAAGAAGGAATGGAACCTATGAAGGCCCCAAAGTAGAGAAAAGAGCTAAGAAGACAAGTATGAATGGAGTTTAGTGAGTGAGGGGGAAGGAACAAGACTCAGAAAATGCAGGGCCTTACAGGGAAAGTGACACTAACATCATACAAACCATACATTCTTGAGAATAAAAGGAGGCTCTCTTAAAAATCATATCCTAGGTAAAATGAGAATACAGTTACCCTCTTTAGAGACCAAAATAAGGATTTTAGATTTTATTCTAAGTGCAAAATGAAGCCACTGAAGACTTTAAAGTAAATAAGTTTGATACGATGATTTATAAAGATACACGCTCTTGCTGCTTTGGGGAATATGGATTGGAAGGGAGAAAGTGCGGAAGTGGGAAGAAGAGAGGCTATTACAGTAACCCAGATGAAATGGATAATAGCCGGCTGTATTAAGTTCATGACACAAGAGTAGAAAAGAGGATGGATTCAAGGCTATATTTGGGAGATAGCATCAACTACTTGCTGATGTACTAAGTGAGCAGAGGAGGAGAATCCAGGACAATTCCTGGTTTTCTGTTTTGAGCAGAAGGGAGAGAGTGGTGGGAAGGGGTGTAGTGGACCTTTGCCATTCTTCGTAGCCAATCAGAACCTATATGTTTTTTCTTTGGGGAATTCCCCACACTGTAAGACTTCGATGGCAGCAGGATTTGCCTCCTATTATAGATGCTGAAAATGCCAGATATTTACTTTTCCAGCCTCCCTTGTGACTGGAGCACAGCATGTGCTCAGCTGCCATGGAGTAGATACTTCCATCCAGCCAGTGAGTGAAGAGGCAGAAGACTATGAGGAACTCTGATGGCAGTAGCAGTGAAGTCATGCTTAAGTGCGAGCAGCAGTGGAGGTGATGCTGGAGCGAGTGTCCACAGCCAAAGCTACAGCACCTATGCTTAGCACTGGGGAGCAGTGCTGGCCTCTGTGGACCAGTTCTATAGCCTGACTTGGGTGATATTAAAAGTAGCCCTAAATGTGGTCTCCAGCAGTCCCAGCTCCTCCATAATCTAGACTATATCCCAATATCTTTTGTGAGTGTGTGCATATGTGGATTCATAACTTCAAGCGTTAGTTACTGGGCCTTATTGGGGCTAAAGGCAGTTGGAATTCTGCAAGTATTAAGGGACGTGAATCTAGTGTCCTATGGCATCTTGTGGAGAAGCAGTCACATTGTCACCTATCATCTAGAATGCTGCTGCCATAGAAGAATATGAAGGGCACACATAAAAGGACATGGGTTAAAAATCAACGTAGCATTACAGTTCGACAGTAGTTTTTCCTTCTAAGTAGTTCAAAAAATAATGGTGCTTCCTATAATTGATTGTGTCATAGTATCTTTTTGGAGAAAGATATGAGATTGCTGAGGGGAATATCAGCATATTTGAGAAATTAAGTGATGTGGAGTGGGATGGTCACTTCCTCCTGTGGTGAACAGCTTAAAACAGGGTTTCTCAACCCCAGAACTATTAAATTTGGGGGCTGGGTACTTCTTTGTTATGGGAGGTTGTCTTATGCATTATAGAAGGTTTAACAGCATCCCTGGTCTCTATCCACTCGATCCAAGTAACATACACACAAGTTGTGACAACCAAAAATTTCTCCAGATATTGCCACATGTCCCCTAGGGGACACAAAAATCACTACCAGTGAGAGCTACTGGCTTAAAGAAAGAGAATAACAAATTCTGATTCCTAAATCCTCCTATCAAAGCACAGACTGAAAACCAGAGATTTTCTGAGGCTATAGTAAAGGAATCTCTTACAGCTTGCAGCTGAAGAGCGAAGAAGACCAAAAAACAAACTTAAAAGTTTGATCCCATGAGTTGCCAAGTTACAGTGTTAGTTTAATTCATAACCTTACCAAGTCTCTTATGTGAAAATAGGACCTTGAGAATTGGAATGGTGACATATGAGAGGATGCAGATGAAGCAGAGTATCCATAAGTCTCAATCTGCAACGGAACTCACTTGCCAGTAGACTCAACCACTGTTCTCCTCTCTGATAACACAGTTCCTACCTTGCCTGAAAACTCTTAATAACCTCACTTGAGCTCACTGACAGAGAAAGCCATATCTCCCCATCATCTCCACCACTCTTCATTTTTTCCAAACCTATAACAACAGTCAGACTCCAATATGCCCCAGAAAGTCAAATACAGGGTCTGACCCAGGAGAAGGCTTACACACTAAAAAATATCTGTAAAAACTCTAGCAAATACGTATGGTTATATAATATGAGGGTGCTAGATCAAGGAGAGATAATCATAATTTTATATCATGCTGAATTTATCAATATGGGTATACATAGCAGGGATTCTGGATTCAATATGCTGACTCAAGCAGCTAGAAATAGTTCTAATTATTTTCTTAGTTGTTGACTGAAACCTGGACCCAGTGGTAGTCCACATTAAGTTGCCAGAAATTCCCTGGAATAATGACTAGAAAGAAATCCAAAGCCTTAGAGAGAGAGAAGTGTTGGAGTGGTTTATCATGTATGGTCTGCTCACTCACACTCTAACTTTGTTCCTTAAGAGCGCTCAAATGACACTCTGGCTTTGAGAAATACTATATTTCATGAGTTCTAAGATGCACATCTTTTATGTCCCTGAAATGAGGATGTATTATAAATTATTGTAGGTCACACTTGGACAGTGTTGTTTTTTTTTTTCTAAGTGGTTCATAAAATAATAGTACATCTTATCATTGATGGTATCTTTGGATTTTATTAAATGTGGAATATTACTGAGGGGACTAATAGCATATTCTAAGAGATGGTTGTGGCTGTTCTTCATTGGCCAGGTATGCTAATAGGAGATGCTGCTGATTCAGTGGGGATGGACACCACATTCCTTGGGTGGTAGAGGCAAGAGCAGAATTTCATTTCCAGGGGAAAAGGTGGGTACGATACCATAATGGGCAGCAGGACCAGCACGGGACTCAGAATAGTCTAATGAAGGGGACTTTGGACAGTGGCTAATAATCATGTGTTCTTCAAGATCAAAATGGATGGGCAGGCCACTAATGTCCTACCTCTAGGCCCAGCAAACTGAGAGCTGTGTTGAATCACCACAATAGAGAACACAGCCAGCCACTCATCTAATTCCTAGAACTGAATCTTCACAGACTCAGGGTACCTCGAATTAAGTGTGTATTACTTTTCCAAGGCTGTGGTAACAAATGACCACAAACTGGGTGGCTTAAAACAACATAAATGTATTCTCTCATGGTTCTGGAGGCTAGAAATCTGAAATCAGCAGGGCCATGCTCCCTCTGTAGGCACTAGGGAAGAATCTTTTTTTGCTTCTTCCTAGCAATCTTTGGTGTTCCTTGGTTTATAGTTATATCATTCCAATCTCTGGCTCCATTGTCACATGTGTGTCTCTGCTCTTATAAGGACACCAGTCATTGGATTTAGGGCCCACCCTAATCCAGTATGACCTCATCTTAACTTGATTATATCTGCAAAGAGCCCATTTCCAAATAGGGTCACATTCACAGACACCAGGTACTGGGGATTAGGACTTGAACATATCTTTTGGGGAGGACACAAATCAACCTTCTAATCTGCTCCCTACCCCCACTTACTCCACTATAAAAACCAGGGTTCTTAGTTTCAAATATCAGAAATCAACTCTGTCTGCTTTAAACAGAAAGTGAACTTATTAAAAAGATAATCCATTAGCTAATAAAATCACTTGAGATGGCTAAAAAATCAGGCTTACGTCAGAAACAGTGCCCAGAACTCTTCTCCTGAGCTTGTCTGGTGAGGACATCACTTCACCACCGTTGAGCATAGGTTGCTTCAGTTTGCACCACTGACACCATCAGTACTGGATGCAGGATTTCATTTCTGAGTGAGTTGAGTCTTTAGGGATGCTGTTAACAAGAGGTCTTTCCATTTACTTTTATGATGGGACATAAGAGTAATAGGAGGCACCACAG